TCTGTCACCAGTCGCTCACTGATTTGTAAAATCGTGGCTCATCGAAGCCAGACAAAGTTCCTGTGAAAATACCTAAAACCCGAAGGATTTCCAGCCCCAAAACGCATAGGTAAGCGAGAAGATATCAGAGTTATTCTCAGCGTGACGGTGACTCAAAATGTTTGAATGCCCATTTCTGATCGCGCACTAGCTTCGAGCTTCGTCGTGCGCCAATTATGCACCAAGGAGTGAAAGCGATAGTTGCAGTCGATAGTCAAGGTCTTTCTGAAGACGGAGAGCATTTGTTATAATCCGACAATATTTGAGCGTGTGACGAAATATTTAGTGATCGCCTATTGCATCGATCCACGTGGATCGATATTTGAATGGCTGGCCCTTGTGAGAGGGTTAAACAATTTGCCTGGTTCCGACGCAAGAGCCCCATTACAGTCCGTACACCATGTTGCAAGTGAATACCGTACCCGGCCCATGTCCTGCACTGCATAGTACGGTGTTTAGCGTACTCACTTATAGCCCCAGACTTTATTATTTTGATTCTCTGACACAATGGCTCTATTCAAAGGGTTGTATTCGATTCCATATGGGAACTCAAAGTTGCAATTCTTGCTGAAAATGGGTATTCATGGGAAAATGGGTGTTCTTGGGCAAATGGGTATTCATGGGAAATATTATCGTCCAATGCATCTAAAAAGTAAACATTCATGCCTCAAATATAATTTAAAACTTCCACGAAAACCCTTTTGCTGTTATTATAGGTCATGATGACCAAAAACAACTGCATAAAAGTCACACAGCCTATAGGATTTTTTTGCCAGCAAATTAATTAACCGTGAGAGACGTACAACTCACCTCCATTAGACTTAGAGAATCCTGTGTAAAAAACCTTTTTCGGATCGCAAATTTACGATTGTTGGCTTTGGAGGGACAGAAAGCAATAGTAATTGATCATGTCGGGGTTGCTTCTGCCTATGCCTGCAGAATGCTGTGCTGAATGGTTTGGTAACAACTGCAGCAGGCCATGTCTGTGCAAGACTGGAACTTGCCATCATGTGACTGGAGAATGTACCTGTGATGCGGACCACTATGGTCGTCATTGTGAGAAAGGCAAGTCTTGTCCATATATGTCGCTAGAACTGGTGTTTCTCGATTTTGCAAAGCACACTTTCTTATCGCATTAAGAGAGCATGTCTGAGAAAACCAGAACATATGTGCAAGTCGATCTCTCAGATTTCGCTCAAATTTCGCAGGTAGGTTTGCTTTGGGGTGTAGATCGAAATTCCAAAGCCCGCACAAAATCTTTTGAAGGGAACCATGAAATTGGCATACCCCTCAATATTGGCCCAATATTGGCACGATTTATGGGTCTACAAACGAGCTACGGCACAGCGTACAAGAACAAGCTACGAACAAAACTCCTTCAAGTCAACATTACCTCACCTTAGAAGAGTTCTTGGGGCAGCACCACTTAGCCACGCCAGCATCCCAGAAGACGAGGGCAATCATCCCTTGACGCCACAAATGATCGTCTTGAAAATAGCCAAATTACAAGCGCTGATAAAACAGCGAGCTACGTCCTCAATTAGCAAACACTATACACCGGCAGATAGTAGAACACCTCTTCTAGCACTGAGGACATGTCCCCCATCATCCTTTTTGGGTTTTCTTGAAATAAACAATTTTGAATTTTTCCACTCGACCATGCTGAACTACGTCCAAACTCCGGCGCATGAAAGCTCGCCCCTCCGCGACGTCTAGTCAGCAATTTCTACTCCACCACTCCCAACGCTGCAGAACAAAGTGTATTGTTGACTCTGACAAGGAAAAGCAGCAGTGATCACTTGTCACTCCAAACGACAAGCTTCTCCTTGCGCCACCAACATAATTCGGTGCAACAGTTGATGCAAAAGTGACTGAATTTTTGCGTGTAGTTTTTGGATTTTACTGCAAGAGGAATGAAGACATGCTCTCTTAAGTCCTTTTGCCTGATGGGCATGCCTAGGCCTTGGCGGATAATTCTCGGAAAAGTCGCGTTTTCTGCTCGACATTCTGCTCGTATTCTGCCGGTATTCTGCCCCATTCTGCCGGATAGAGTAGTTAAATACCGGTATTTTACTACTCCCTGCTTCGCGCTTGTAGCAAAGCGCATGTGCAGAGGGCAACATAGAGCATGCAGTTTGATAATATCCGTGTGCGCACCGCACTCCGGCGTATGGACTCACTCTTTCTCGGCAAGACTTTCTGAAGACTAGTGAAGCAAGATCCCTTTCGCGAAGTGGACGACGCGAAATTATCAAATGCGGCCACAAGGTATCAAAAAGGGACCATGCACCAGTGAGTTCACATGCTTGTGAACACAATGGAGAGCAGCCCTCTCCGCACCTCGTAGCTGGTTCTGCAGAGTATCTGCTCCTTCTTTTGCACCTTTCTGCAGGATTCTGCTCATTCTGCTCCTTTTCTAAAATAACCGATTTTCTGATCGAAATTCTGCCGGCATTATCCGCCAGGGCCTAGGCATGCCACATGGTACACAATACCCTTGCGGTGTGTTCGTTTGAAATCTTTTATTCTCACGATGGCCTGTGGCCGATCAGAGAAAAATAAATACAGGAATGGGAATCGAATAAAGAGAAATCAAAGCTTCGCTGTTTGCTGAAATAGTGGCAATGATAATAAAGAGTTTGTCATGCAGGCTGGGCACAACGCATCTACAGGTCCCTGCATGAGTATGAGGGCAGTACCGCGGAATCCAGGCCGCGCCGTGATAGCGGCAAAGGCTGGATGAACAGCGGTAGTGGGCGAGCATGAGCGACTGCAGCGTGTTTCCCGTGTGCACCCAAGCCAAAGAGCATGCATGCACGTGCACTCTGTACAATCGTGGACATAATTCGCTCTTTCCGTTGTCCTTGCCCAGTGACGACGCGCAGTAGAATCTGTACCTGCCCGTCGTCACATGACCTGGGGCAGTGGATGCAGTTCCATCACCTTTGAGCAGGCAGGACCGCGCTTTCCATCCCGCGCAGTTTGATTTGTCATTGGTCGACTCCAAGGCGACAATCACGTGACATACGGGAGTCTGTATTTATTGTAGTATTGAGTTCCAACAGGAGGACGTCATACTCTCCAAGCATTTTTTTGGGTAGGTGGAACATTTATTACAGGAGACGAAGATACAGAGACCAAGACGAACGAAACGACTACATTGTGTAAGATAGAAAGAAGAGGTAGAGATCAAGTGGGAACAGCAAGATAAAGGGCCTGGGTAGCTGTGGCAAGTATGGGCGCGCAAGTAGCTACCCAGGCCAACGGAACAAAAGGAGACAAAAATGGTGAGTACAAGAGTGCATGCAGGCCAGCTTGGATAAGGTTGTAGAACGTACGGGAGGAGGTACCTGACAGTAGTTTAAGGATTATCCAGAGGCTATAGGCCTGTCGAGGGTATCTCCTACACACAGCAGGCCCGTGGCACCGGCTTTGGAGGTGGTGCAGCGATGGCAGCCTCCTCCTCCCTGGGAATTTCTTGGCGAAGATTGAAGCCAATTGCAAGCAATTCAGGGCATTTGGTGCCATTTCAGTGCATGTAAAGACAATGCATGAAAGACTTGCCGATGGTGCAAGAAGCCAAGAAAATGCTACGATCGGGGACAAGGAATCTTCATTATTCGCCACGTTTGCGCATGCAATCAGTGCACTTTGTTGCAGTGTGCATAAAAAAATCGGCCGCAAAAGTGGGCCGGGCTCAGCCTCCCCAGCCATGACGGCCTTAGCCCATTTTTAGTGTGCCGCTGACTTCCTGCAATATGCACATTTCCGTCAGTTCACATCGGACTAATCAAACTCAGAAACCATTCACTTTGTCAAATAGCAACATGTATGTTTTCTGAAAGGTAATGCACCAAGGAATCCGAAAATCACATCTATTTGAGCATTGGCTTGAGATATGTTGCCAAAACTGATGCGAAACATTTATATCCAGCACAAGAACACAGTCCTGGCTTTTGTCACTTGCACCAACAAAATGTGCAGCACAAAAAGACAGAAGAAGACAATTGTATTACATGTGTGGAGCATGCAGATTCTTCAATCTAGTACTTATGCCATTATAGCTTGCTGTGAACCGGCAATAAGTATTCTTTGAATGTGAGGTTCAAACCTACCTTTTCGAGAAGCTTTCCATGTTCTCCACTGGGATTATCAGAAGCTTTTTTGGGGATGCGATGGGCGATGTGACGCGATCTGTGACGGAGGTGTGCGATGCGAACTTGCGAAACACCATTCACAAAATAAGTCAGCGATGCAACGACTCCTTGCTGATTTGGCGCGAAGTTCAATGCAGGTGGATATGTCACCAGGGTAATCGCGCAGTTTGGTACAACTTGTACAAATTTAGGCCCCTTTCACACTACGTAGAAAAACGCAGATCCCTTGTCAGTGTGCAACGCTTGAACTGGCTTGCGCATACGCAGGGTATGCGCAAGTGTTTTTGCGTTTTAATTATATGTGGTGTGCTGCAAGGGGCCTCAGAGGCAACTCTTGATTCTGTGTACAACTCTGCTGTAGAAAAGGTCAAAATCGTATGCCAAATTTCTTGTCGCATCTCGAAAATTGAGCCGAGTTCAAGTTCTGCAATGTACCAGTTGCGGCAATTGCGTGGGGTGCGAGATACCCGTGATTTGTGGATTTCGCGGCTGTCACATCGCGTGTCGCATCGCAAGAAACCTTCTGTGAATCCCGCTTTACATGTCTTCTAATTGGCCGAATCTGTGCCATCTCACTGTCTGCTGATTGGTCCAAACCCGTTGCTCGTTTCTATTCGAATGCTAAACATGCTTGATTCTTTGCACATAGAAGAACTGAAAGATTTGTCTTTATTGGTCAAGACTATAAGTAACTTCTCCTTGCTCTAGTAAAACGTGTTCGCTGTTGTTGTGGGCCCAACAACTTGGGCTATGCTACGCATGTATATCGTTTTTTGGCTCAATGCAGATATATTCGGTAAATTGGAACTTAAAGACGAAACATTTTGCCCGTCAGGTGGTGTAGTTCTGAGAATTGCACGTGAAAAATTGGATTATGAGGGCGCTGCTCTCGTGTGTGCCAAGAATAATGGCACTCTGCTGACCAAGAAGACGTTCAAGAAGGGCTGTGCAAGGAATTTTATCGACAGAGAGGAACTTCCGGCTTGGATATCTGGAGAGCCATCTTTACTCGAGCAGGCAGACACTAGTGGACGCACCTCGCCTATCAACAGAACGATCTCCGTGATCTGTGAATTCAGTAAGTTATTTATTTTGTACATTCATCTCTCATATCCTCCTTTAAAAAAAATTAATGGATCGATTTACAAAAGCTCAGGATTCCTCCCGTGCGTGATGCTGCCATGGAGATTCAGTGAGCTCAATCTTTGCCGCAAACTCATGCAGGGGGAGTTATCTCAGCCCGACCCTGATACTGTGAGGTGGTTGGTGGAGGTGTTGGGGAAGTGCTGGCGGGGAGGGGGTGGGGGGGGGGGGTGGGGGGGGGGGGTGGGGGGAGGGGGTGGGGGTGGGGGATGGCATAACAAAAGCCTGTATAGCTGATATTTCAATTTTCACGCATTCCAGCCACCATCAGCCTGATCTATTTCAGTATTCAGTAGTCCACCATTGTATATGGACGCACCGGATATTTCCACTGTTTAGGCAAGAATCTTGACTCAAGTGTCAAGTCAGTCAACAGGAAGCGTGTAATGGAATTGCATGATTTGCAGTTGATTATAAAGTAATCAATCTTCTCCTTCGATCTTGTTCAAATAATTCTCTAAATGTACTGATGTTTTGACATCATAGTTTTTCGAAAGATTCAAATAATTTAGTTATCATATGTTGACTCGCTTTGAATCGCTGATCAGAGCATGATCATGTGATCTGATCATGCTCTGCGCCATTTTTGCTATGGTTCTTTGATGCGCGTGAGGGCATGAACCTCGCGGCATCAGGCTGGCTTTTGTGGATCTTTTTACTCTCCTTTTAGACTAATTCCTGTAAACAAGCCGTATTTGGGGTCTTGAGTGTGTGGTCGTGAGGGATCGAGGCAGCCTACAGACGGAATTGGTAGTGCTCTAGGGTCCGACCTAAAGTAGAAAGGAATTCGATTACAGATTTGGTACCGAAACCCACGTGGATGCCCCGGAAAAGTCGTCGTGGTCGTGGAAATACAGTCCAAAAACAGCAACGTGGTAGTGCTGGTTGTGAGCAGACTGATCAAAGTTCGAGTGTCAGTGCTGTCAGTGTGACAAATTTGGACGTCGCGGAAGATAAAGGAACTGTTGCGCGTGCTGGTGAACACCTTGTATGCACCATGTCCTCCAAATTTGATTCGTATTTGAAACAGTATCGTGGAGCTCGCGATGACTTTGATGTCTTTTGGAGAAAGTTTATGGTGGCTGCTCAACTTCAACAATGGACAACAGAGGAAAAGCGAATGGCACAACTTCCGTTATTCTTGGATGGAGATGCCTTTTTAGTGTGGGATGAGCTCTCTGATGAGGATAAGAAAAAAGAGAACAGTGTGAAACAACGGCTGCGTGATGCCTTCACGCTGTCGACAGGCCAGGCGTATGGCCAGTTTGTTACGCGCACCCTTGGTCGCGCCGAGAGTGTGGATGCCTACGCTGCGGATCTGCGCCGGCTGTTGATCGCAGCCGGACATAAAGTCGAAGCGGACGGCAAGTCACCCATGCTCATCGAGCAGTTCATAAGGGGCTTGCCGTCGACGGAAGCCAACCAATTGACATCGAATGGTGACACGTCATCAATTGGAGCCTGCGTGGCATATGTTCGTCGCCTGCGCACTTCGGTGTCGCACATGTCGGGTGGTGTGTCAGCCGTAGCAGCGTCTTCGGTGAAGTCGTCATCCTCATCCAGCGGGCGAGGACGATCCAGTTCAGTGCTGTGCTTCTGTCACGTCCCAGGATAAGACAACTGCTGCCTGATAGTCCTGTGACAGCAGGATCTACATAGTGAGCAGCTCTGTGCTGAGCTGTCACGCCCTTTTAGTACAACGTGGTTTGGCCAGTGTCTTGTCCCACGTGCTTAGCATGTAGGTTGAGCGACACGCGCTTTCCCACGTAGGTGACATGCCTTCTTGGCATGACACGTCATGTGATCCAAGGCCGGAACCTGGTCAGGTAGGTTCTCGCGTTGTACGTTTCCTGGAAGTTCTTCACTTCCTGGAAATGTGACTCCAGGCTTTGTGCAAAACCACGTCACTACGACGTTCTACAGGTTTCCACGATGCCTCGGCGCTTCGTGCAAAGAGCCAGGACTAATATGACATTGTATAACAAGAGCTAAGTGCAAGACAGGAGACATGTGCAAGAACCAAAACCGTCACCGCGCAAGACGTCAGAGTATCACGCAAGCAAGACCAAGAATGCAGCAGAACTTACCATAAGAAGCCGCTGAACTATGGCACGTTGGGTGAGCGGGCTCCCCAACGTGACCCTCATATACTCACATTGTACTCTAACGTGGGTGAGCGGGCTCCCCACGTCCCAATTTGGTCTTTCTCCTCTCGATGTCTTTCTTTCTCTTTCTTCTCGAATGATCACCGTACGTATATTCTGCATTTCTGCTGACTGGCTGCGCACATTCCGGTTTGACTTGTTCTGCTATTTCCTGGAATTACCTCGCAATGATCACGCCATATATCTCTGAAGCACCCTATAAAAGAAGCTCTCATTCTCTTTCTTACTTCAGTTCAGTTCTAGTCTAGTCTAGTCTAGTCTAGTCTAGCAGTCGAGACTCGGTCTCAGCTCTCTGTCTTCGTTTACTTTGAGCTCGGATTTGATACTACTCACAACGTAAAACTAACAGTCTCTGTCTGTTGATCGTGTGGGGTTGAACTTGGACCAAGCCAGCTATATTGGTTGGCCCCTGGGTTGTGTTGGGCTTGTCGTGAGGCCACACGTCTATATTCAGTCGCCGCTCGTAGTGATTTCGGGGTCCGGTCACTGTGAGCCGGGGACGCGACATTTGGTGCTGTGACCAGGATGGTCTAAGTTCTCCTCACTCCGTAACTGCAACGACGCAATGTCCACAGCAGTCTTTCGTGAACAACCTTGTCTCTGATGGCAGGTTCTTGGCGATAGACGTGGCAGAGCAACAGCAGTGTTGGACGCTCCAACTTGGTACGAAGAAAACGTCGAGTGCGTTTCTCTTTCGGATCCAGCACTGGCTTTCGTTCCGTACCTCGTGTTCCTGTAGCGCTGTAGTGCGAGTTCGTAGTGCACGACGAGCTTGCTTTGCTGCGGACTACATGGCGGGCACCAAGGTGCGAAATTTATTGTCAGTTGCACGATCGATCGAGGAGTTGTTTGCATTCATGCAGTTCTCAAGTACGAGTGCAGTGCGCGTTTGTCACAGTCAGGTTCAGATATGGAAGGATTCGTGAACCCGTGTACCATGTGTACGCACATGAGCCGTAAACAGGGCTTGGGTCCTCTTTACGGAGCGTTGTGAAAGTAGTCACTACGACTGGATCACGGAGTAGTGCAGTGCAGTTTTCAAGTTTCGACAAGAAAACGCCACTGTTCGGACATGGTGTTTGTTGAGACCGCTTGAAGCTCTTGAAGCTTGACAGGTCGTCTCTTCAACGATGAGGCCTTACTGACGTTTGCACTCAGTTGTTCTCAGTCGCGCAATGGCGAGTGCTGTTTGAAGACCCGGTTGTTTCATGGCTGGAACGATGGGAGGATGCAGACCACGTCGCTGGTCGTGGACGAATTCAAATCTCGTTCTGCGTGTCGATGCACCAGACGAAGATTTGTGACGCCCAGCTTTGGTGCTGGCGGAAGCAGTTTTATCTGCGAATGCCGCGAGTCTTGACGATCATGTCGCGAGGATGGCGAGTTCTGACCTTGTTGTCGATCTTCATTCTCCAGACGTTCTGTTTGTGAAAAAAAAGTTTGTGGAGAGGATGGCCGGACAGTACATGACCTACTAGTATGTGCTGGAGTGTATACTCGTTACTCTTCGCGGTCCTTGTGCTTGGTGAAAGTTGACCAGTTTCCTGCAGAGGGAACTGTGTCCTGTGAAAGTGTGATGTTGATGGGTGCCTTTGCATCCTCAACAAATGACTGAACTGTGCACCGGTTCGGGTTGTGTACGGCTCAGAGGAGTCAGTTGGTCTCTGTGGATGAGGCGCCCGGATCGGTCAGTTGTAGCCAATTTCGGTTGGTGGTGATGAGCTTGCGTAGTGAGCAACGGAGAAGGGGACGGTGGTGACCATACAGGCCAGGATGGGATTCCTGGGGCCGAATAATTATGGTCTGCGCTTCATATAGGACGAGGTCCTAGAACTGAAGTGGAAAGGCTGTGGTGGGAGAGGATGATTTGGATCTGGATCCCTCGGGCACAGTGTTGGCTGACCAGGGGACGCCCTGTGTCGAGGAGCCTGGTAGGCGAGACTCATCTGGGGATGATGAGTTGTTGCGAGTGAGGTCCCAATTTGCTCGTTACCGGATGGATTTTACTACGAGCTCTTTACCGATCTGGTTTCACAACTGTGTAGCACCATCGGATTGAGTGAATGCTTTATGTGCCTGGCACCTGGCGAGGAATTGTATTTTCTCGTGAGCAGTCAGTGATATTGTTCAGTCGTATGAGCCCGATACGAGTGATATGCTATATTCGGCTGATGACATGGTGTTCGCACCAAAACCTGTGGTGGATTGGACTTGCATCCTGCATCTCCAGTTGACTTACCTATTGTATCCGTCGCGGAGCCTGGTGGATGACACTGGCAACGTCGCGGTATCTCACCGACTACCATATCGGTCGAGGATAGTCACGGGACGTGATTCTTCAACGGCGGGGGAAATGTCACGTCCCAGGATAAGACAACTGCTGCCTGATAGTCCTGTGACAGCAGGATCTACATAGTGAGCAGCTCTGTGCTGAGCTGTCACGCCCTTTTAGTACAACGTGGTTTGGCCAGTGTCTTGTCCCACGTGCTTAGCATGTAGGTTGAGCGACACGCGCTTTCCCACGTAGGTGACATGCCTTCTTGGCATGACACGTCATGTGATCCAAGGCCGGAACCTGGTCAGGTAGGTTCTCGCGTTGTACGTTTCCTGGAAGTTCTTCACTTCCTGGAAATGTGACTCCAGGCTTTGTGCAAAACCACGTCACTACGACGTTCTACAGGTTTCCACGATGCCTCGGCGCTTCGTGCAAAGAGCCAGGACTAATATGACATTGTATAACAAGAGCTAAGTGCAAGACAGGAGACATGTG